TCTAAGTCTCACCCTTACCTGCTGGCGATAAGTGGGCCTCAGCTGCCAGGGCTTCCCCTACCCCACCTGGAGGCTGAGGCCCTGGCTTGCCAGCCGCCCCCAAGGTCCCCCTTGGCTGCTCGGGACTCCCTGTCCCCAAACGGGCACTTGAGCAACGTCCAGGCACATTGGTCTTGGAGGAGGAGGGAAGCTGGGAAGAGAGGGAGGAAAACCCACGAGAGCCCTTTCCAGTACTTTACCGTGAACGGGACTCGTCCTGGCATCGGGAGAGTTTTCATGTCACCCCCAACCTTGTCACTGTGAGCAGGATGCCCCGGGCTGGGCGCTGCTCACGCCGAGGCCTCTGCAGTAGAAAGATCCTGGCACCTCTAGCATGAGCTGGCAAATGGCGGTAAGAATTGTTGCCACGTCAGACTCCCAGATCTCTGCCTGCACAGTGCAGGGAGGCAGAGTGGCCAGGGTCTTTTTCCAAATTTAGACTAGGGGAAAACACTTGTGGAACTAGTTCTTTGGGCACAGTGACTATTGATTATTTGGTACAAGTGCACTTGGTTTTTATTAACACTTTCCTCCTGGGGGTGGCTATCGCTTGGGTCCTAAGGGCTTGCTGTGGCTGTCTGCTGGCCTAAGACAAGCGGCTGTCAGTTCTTCCTTTGGGCCATCAGAGGGAATGACTTCTGGAGATAATCACCTCTGGACCCTGGGGAGGCCGTAACATTGTACAACACTGCCAGAAGTATTTACCGTTTGTCCTGGCTGATGTCTGACAAGACACGTGAAAGGATTTCGTGACTGTGACCAGAAATTTGGCCAAATTGGAAGCTGAGATTCAGAGCCTAATAAGAATTTTTAAAATCTGGACCTCCTCCCGTGAGTTACACCAAAGCTATGCAACCAGAAGGAAAGGAGCAAGTTGGAGGAGATGTAGTTGGACAACCTACGATCGTAAATCAACCTACGATGCCTCTTAAGTTACTCAGTTCTTTGGGGGAATTAAGTTATTACCTTCATCTTAAATATTTTTGTGAAACCATAAATGTAGCTCTAGAAGCAACTCAAAGCACACCTACCTCTAATAGTCTCAATTCTCAAGACTGAAAGAAAACTGAGGGGGAAGAAGTTTTGTTGTGTTTTTTTTTAAAACACAAACAGCTATAGAAGCACCCTTGCCCAAAATCTAGCCCATAGCTTCCATAAGACTAAATGTCTTCTCCACAGATATTAAATAGAAAAAGCCTTAGCCATCTGAATGGATAACTTTATTGCCTGTCTCATGGCTAAAATTCTGAAAGGAGGCTGGGG